GAAAGGTAAAACAGACAGAGGACTGAATGGAAAGAAGAAAATTCAGAAAGCAAAGCTTCCAAGAAATTCTAAGAAACACCTTTGTGCAAGGGTGATGTCAATAATTATATTTCTGACCCTTGTAGTGTATGCATTAACTGGAGGAACTGTGAAACTCAAACTAAAAGGAGATGAGACAAACGTGAAGTGACAGCACTGAAACAAACCCAGGGTCTTCAAGGTATTTTCTCAGCCTTCAGTAAAAACTGCTTGTTTTGTCTCTTTGTTCAGAGGTAGCCCAGAACTGGGGGGGTAATTCAGCACCTCAGAATTGTACTAGGCTGGAGTAGGAAACTCTGTTATCAGTTACTGCCGAAGTATTCATTAACACTTTCTGGTTTGGCAGACGGTGATTGCCTGCTCTCTGGCTGCCTCCAAGCTGTATCATTAGTGTCGCTGTCTCCATGTCTACTGCAAATTCACAGACACATCTCTCTACAGATAGACTTCTTTTTCTAGTGAATTTTTAACAAAACCTAATCTCTATGAAGTTCCTTACCTATTAATTTTTACACCTCTGAAGATGTTTATCTGTAACACTATATGACTCCTGAGCAAGCACGGCTATATACTAAAGAACGGCCAGGCAACCACAGACCAAACTCTGCTGTCACCCACTCGTGATCCTGTGGAAGAAGGGGAATTTCTTTGGGATTGCAGTGACATAAAGAGGCTGAGGATACCCAAGTGGCTGCTCCTGCCGGGTACGGAACCTGATTCCCTCAGGCTGTGGTACTGAGGTGTGGCATGTGGAGACTTATCTCTTTGTAACAGGAAATGATTCGAATTTATAATCCATGTAAGCATATCATTAGGAAACCAATCTTAATAAACTCTTCTTTAACAGTTACGTGCTCCATTTGGGCTGTTGTTTTTTAATTTACCAGCCTGCAGCTGGCACCAAAACCTATTAAGTTGCAATAAGAAATAAAGTCATTGAGATCATGAGGTACTCAGGCATCCACTAGCAGATGGATGTAAGACTTTGGCTGATTTGAGAATCAAGAAGTGTTGGCTTCTGGTGATTGTATTTTTGAAAAATTTCCTGAAGTTTTTAAAGGTGGACATAAAATAGTGCTTCAGATGATCCTCTCAGACAATTCAGCTAGCAAGTCAGGTCTCTGATAAACTGTGCTTAAAATTAAATAACTGTGTCTGAATTGCTGAATTTTGTATTTCCTATGAAGTAATATTTTCAGGTAATGGATCTAAAGTACTGTCATTATTAGTTCAGGAGCTTTATATCCATTTTCTATTTGTGTAACTTGTTTCTCTTTTGTAGCAGCTTTGCATTCATGTAAGTGGTTCTGCAGGGTGATACAGAGTGAAATGTTAAGGGAAATTCTCAGTGCTTGCAACAAAGAATTGGCTGCAGGCTTACACCAGCACATCTGAGAGCAGAGAGCTCTCTACATTATGCAATTACTTCTCTCAAGTCACTCTTCTTTCAGGAGAGATAAAATACAGGGGGCTAAAGTTGGTAGTGTAGCCTGGTTGCCACAATAGCAAAATGAAAACAGCACCTACATTCTCCTACTTTATCTTTTTCATCTTCTGTCTAGCACACTGTGGGGATCCTCAAGCTCTAATGTTAACCATCAGCAGAAAGATTCTGCTTTTATTTGCTGAAGTCTTTTTATGCATTTGTAACTCCACTGACCAGTTATTTCTCCAAATTAGTTCTGGTGCAGAGGAGAGCAGAATTTCACCTACTACTATTTAAGTGAGGCATAATAATTATTTTTTCAGCAAATCCGTTATCTTAAATAATTATAGAAATCGGCACTAAAACAGAAAGCTCTCAAAATGTCACTGAAGATCTCCATTTCCCATATAGCTTTCCGTTAAGTCGACAGGGAATTGCAAAATTTGGTAAAGCATAAGTAGGCGTCATACAGTCCTAATTCTGAATGTAGTGCTTGAATCATCACAAACAAGTAACTGAAAACATGAGAAAATCCTTCCCACCTACCATAAAACATGAGCCAGGTAAACAAATAAAAACACTAAAGATTCCTGATAGTCTTGCTGGTAAAAATGGAGGCAGGAATCAGAAGTGTCTCTTAGATGATAAACACGAGAAAAATGTGGACAGAAAATTCAGTCAGCTAAGTGGTAACAGCAGCATGTTGAAGAAAAAGTAAGGCGAAAGCAAGAATTTCAGCATGTATTCATGGGTATCCATGTTGCCATGGCAACTTCTCAATGGAATAAAGTATTTTCTCCTTTCGTTAGGCATTAAAAAAAAGAGAGATGCTGTTCTGCAAATAGGCACTTTACGTTTTTTAAATAAATGTATAACTATTTCCTGACATAGCAGGCATTGTTTTGTCTTGCTTTGGAAAGAGACTTAAAATTCTAAAAAGGGCGCAATATTATAGATGTGTTATTCAAAAGGTTTCTCTTATCCTCTTTTTATTTTGAATGCTTACTAAAAGCCTAAATTCCTTCGCATTTCTGGATCCTCCTCTTTTTTTTTTTTTGCTTGCTGTTTAGCTACAGAGCTTGGATAATCAGCGTATTCTGCAGCAGATCTGTCTGTGTTTTCCGGTTCAAGCTAAGGCTATTCTTGTTCCCTTTTGATTTTCTGGAGTGAGATTCTGATCTCTTACTTTGTTCTACTTGAGGGAATTGTACTGAATGTTGTTCCATCATAAGTAGTTGTTTAAATTTGGATTCAAGGCTAATAAAGAAATATCAGTTTGTGTTGTATCTTCACCCCAAAGTCACTGACTGAAAATGCAGATCTGTTCAATCTCTCTCATTCTTTCTTTAGATAAGACAGCAGAGATATGCATAGATAGAAGATGTTAAAGGGGAATAATACCCTTTGAAGGTAAAGTTAGTACAGTTTTATTTTGGAAATTTTGATAAAAGTGTAACATTTCCAGAAGTGGCTGAAAATATAAGTGATAAGGATCTATTTTCAGAAATTACTTGGAAAACTTCAGCAAAGGACTTAGGCGCTCTTACGTACATACACTGACACTGAATACATTTTAAACATAGCAGAATTTTTATTGTTGCACCTATTAAAGCCATAAAAAAAATTCTGTTAAAGTAACTTGTTTCATAAAATATTGTCTTTATTTTCAGAATATATGTGTAGGAACTGACCTTAAATGAGAAGTTAAAAACCTCACTGTTTCTTAAATATATTCATTGCTACTTGTAAATTTTCTGGCTACTTATTACCAGGATGGAAAAATTCTAAGAATCTAGATATGATTAATAATACCTTCGAAAAAATGAACTGAACATAGCTATGTGACCCCTCCAGGTCTTTTAGAAAATTCTGCTAGCAACTTGCTGGTTCCTTTTTAATACCTGCTTCCTGCTACCTTGGTTATCTCATCCAATACACTGTATTGATAGGTCCACTTGACACACGTAACCAGTGCAATTCTAGTTTCATTTAATCCACTTTAACACTTGTACCATTTTCACATGACTCTTTGTTCAGCTCAGTGCAGAACAGCTTCAGATCCACTTAATTCTGGGAATACAATCTAATTAAGTTAGTAGAGTTCATCCAGATTCATACTGTTAGAAATTAGCAGAATCTCAGAAAATGGGAAGAAAATACATGTTTGTAGCTATATCTATTTTATGGCTATGCCTACACTGGTAAATTAAATGTGGCCAGAAAATTTCCTGGGCACTGAGGCCAAATGGCATGAAATAATCCATGTCTATGCCTGTAAAATCATCTTAGCCTCCCAAACGGTGGCTGTGTGCAAACATTCTTCTGGGAATGGTCCCCGAAAAGTACCTGTTTGGGGGAGAACTAGTCAGTACCTACAAAATGTATGCCAGAGAATGTCCTAAAATAGGTCTGTTACAGTATCTGCGCATGCTTGAACTTACAGCTACATACACAACCTGTCTTATTCAGAGGGCAAAAATCAAGACTAAACACAGTACAGCCAGGTCAGTAAACCCAGTTAGTTTCTGTTTTGTAATGCCAGAATATCACAGAGCTGCTGGAGCTTGTCTCTCTTTCACTTTCCATTAAATCACTAAAACTGCCCAACCTTCATTTGGGCTGTCGCTACAGAAATAAACAGGACAAAGAAAGATTTACACCAACATAATCATAGACTTCAGCGCCAGAAGCGACTGCTGCTGTTGTTGTGATGGAGTGTGTCTATGGAAGCCAATAGACCTTTGTCACTGTATTTTAGGCGATGTGGCAGTAATGAGCAAGAGACAAAAAAAGTCTAGAAGCTTTCAGTGTTAGAACAGCACGGTATAGTTTAGCTATACAAGACCATATCATCTGCGTAAATATGTAAATTTACCTTGGTTTACAGGCTAATTTGCAGTGCTTTTAAGTGTCAGGAATAGCTATTGAGCTTACTTCTTAGTTTTTTGAGTGACAGCGATTAATACTGATGTGAATTATACAGCTGGTTCTTCTGTGGTCTAAAGATTTTTTTTTATTTGTTTGTTTATTTGTTTTTTAAAGTTGAAAGCAGACTAGCTTAATTTGATAGTTTCTAACTCCTGGTTGGAGGAATGCAGTGGGAGAGGGATAGAGTGTCTGAAAACTCTTTACTTCTATTTCCATCGTTCAGTCATCAATTGTCTTTCAATGGTTGTGTGCTAGCAATTTGTGTACATAAATCCTACTTTTTCTCACCTGACTACCACCGCGACCCAAACCTGTTTAGCCTACATATTTGGACGCAAAGGCATTAAGTTTCCTCCTTCCACCTTAACTAGGTTCTTAATTAAGCAGCCTAAATCCTACAGTCAGAGAGAGAAGAGGCAAAGAGACTAATGAAAAGTTCTAAATGAAGATTAAATCCACATAAAATCTGCTTTGTTTTCTGGTAGTGCTTACTTTCCCTCCAGAAACATCTAAGGGAATGCAGCATGGCTAAGCTCCCAGCTTGTGCACCTCACTTAAGTGCCTAATGTCAGGTAGGATAATTCCCTTCCCCTTCGCCTGTCCTTACCTGCCATGAGGAGAAAAATGATGCTGGACTGAGTAAGTTAGGGTTGGTGGGATGTCTACCACCCATGTATTCATCAGTGCAGACCACACAGTCTTCTGCATCTCGCCAGTCCCAGTAGGGGATGGTAAAGTTCTCATCACCTGTTATCTTCTGGATCTCGCGTTCCCACATCAGCAGAAAGACCCGATGCCAAGGCAGAAAACCAGGGGCTTCATGGGCAAAATCAATGTCCCGCCACACATTGGATCCACCTAAGAGAGTGTCTCTAGAGGCATAATAGTGCATCCACACAAAGAGATCATATACGTTGATGTTTCTGAACATGGGGTTGGAGCCGCTGTTCATCTGAGTGTACGTGCCTGTAGCAATAACATAGTCCTGGCTAGGTGTATTCTTTGCCAAGTTAAGGTAGGCAAGAAACTTGTCCTTCTCACTGGTGGTGAGCTGGAAGATGTTTCTTCTTGTTCTCAGTCGCCTTTCAGTGCAATTGAGTCCTGAGAAACCAAACTTGCACTCCCCACAGTTGAATCCCATGAAGTTGCCTTCACATTTACACGTCCGGTTGTAAAACACAGAGGGCCAGTCCTCTCTGTCATCCACTCCTGAGAAAGGGAACTGTGGTCCCAGCGGAGCCTGAGAGAGAAGAATGTTTTGGCAGGACCCTCTGCTGGAAAGCTCCCCACAAGGAGATCCGTCTCCATCCCAGGGGGGACAGCACTCCTTCCTCAGCAAGCTCTGTGCGTTTGCACAGGCTCTGGGGAACTGCGCGGTGGACGGCTGAAGGATCACTAGCAGAAAACCCACGGCAAACAGTGGCATCCTCACAGAGCAGCAGGAGAGCATCAGCGTTATGCTTCAGTGCATGGAGTGCTCTCTCTGACCCCTCCAAAGTCCTGGGTGTGAAAGAAATTCTTCCCCTCCACCAGGAATGCTGACTTCTGCTACAGCGCACCCTCCAATGTTCTTCCCCATTCCTACCCTGGGTGCATTTACACACAAAATACACTTCGGGGTTAATCTGATTATCACATGTTCTGGGTGAAAGCCAAATGACTTTTTTTCCCCACCCCCTACAGGTTTTATAAATACAGGCATTTATTATAAACTTTCATCTTCTGCCTAGCACATGATTGCTTTCCTCTGGCAATTGGAGAGGAAGTAAAATTAAAATTTGGACACAAACAATTGTCAGGTCTTCAGATTCCTTGTTTGATTATATGCTTTAGAGTAAACGGTTATCTAAAAAAGACCCAGAAGAATCTGATCAGTTAAATAAGCACAGTGAACCTAAAAGTGAGAAAATAAACAATTTGGAGGTAAACGATCTATTTTTTTAAGAGGAAGCAAACCTACAAAGTAGGCAGATTAAGTGTGAACGTAAGGCAGAACCAGAATAAATGGTTTGGTTTGGCATTTTTATATTTCAGTGTAAGCTGCCTTTCCCAGGCCAGCACACGGCAAAGTAACTTCACAAGAGAGGCAATAAACTTTTCAGAAAAAAATAATTTTTTCTTCCCCTGGAATCCATAGTGCTTTGACAGTTAATGATACGCCAAAATCTACACTCAAATCTTCTCCACAATTTTGTGGTGAATAAAGATGATCTACCAATAGATTTGCAGAAAACACTTTAAGCAGCCATCTCTGGACCTGGAAAACAAACCTTGACTCCTGTTTTTCTGCCATCAAGCAGTTTGCAAACACCATATCCTTGTTCTTTACTCAATAGGTTACTGGGCAACCTCCAGACCACCCACTTCTTTCTTCTTCTATGTTAGCCTGATCAGAGCTAACAGAGCTGCATGGGTGGCATTAGAAGTTTTACATTCTTTGAAGTTGCCCCTTGAAGCAAAGGGATGGCAGTTGTTTTACTGCTGGACAAATTGCGCATGAATTATCCACAGATTTCTTCAGTTGCACTGTTATTAGTAGGAGTGGGTTTGTTGGTGTTATTTTTTTACTAAAAGCATTGTGAATTATTTCCTTATGCCTAGGGAGAATCTCAGCAGGACAGGAGCAACGTATAGGTAAATGAAGCGAGAACTTCTCTGGGAAATGATGCCTTTTGCTGGGATCAGCAGGTCATCACATGGCTGTGCTGAGGAGCACGAGGTGCTTTAATCCTGTTGCCTTCCACGCCTCAGGTATTCCAGGGGATTATCCCTGAGTGCCACTGCCAGGGAGTCTGTGATGGGGGAGCTTGGAGTAAGAACAGCAAAGGAAAAGGAGTTGTTTTTTCAAAAAATATTTCTAACCACAGACTGGTGTTTACTATTGTTTGACTGATTCCCCTGGTTTCCATATTAGGCTTGTAAAACAGATTTTATCATAGAAATGTTACTTCTTTGACTTATTTTTTTTACTCTGTGCCTGACTGTTTGGGAAACCCTTGCAAATTATTTCGTTTACTGTTCCTCCCGTGGAGGCTAGTGCAAAACTACTATACGTGAGAAGAGACCCATCTGTGAGGATAACGATATATATTTTTAATTTTCACTTAAAAGATACAGGGATCAGGAAAGACTTGAGGTAGACTCTCAGAGCTAACCAGAAAAGCCCTCAAATATTTATTTAGGCAGACAGTCAGACACAACAATACATTCAATACTCTATTTTTATATTCAAATAGGATTTTATGTTCAGTGTTAAAAAATAAGAATCTGAGCCTTGACTGTTGTCATATGACAACAAGTTCTGAAGCAGCTGATTAACAGAGGAATCCCCTGTGAAATGGTATGAATGAGAAACTCTGAATGAGGAATGTGACTGAGGAGAGCACACGCCCTTCTTGACCTACTATTGAGCAGAGTCCTGTTTGAATAACTGTCAGTGATTCAGATAGTAGCTGGGAAATCAAACCTTCTGTATAACAAGAGCCATAAGCATTAAACAAGTAAGAAAATACATGTTCCTATTCTCATGCATGACTGTAGAATCACCAAAACATGAGACAGTCACACATTACATGCTGCATCTGGGCAAAATTCTCTTCATTAAAAAGGACTTTCACAGGACTTTCCATCTCTCTTGTGCTCCAACGCAGCACTCTAACAAAGCCGTCATATCTGCATGAAGTTTGTGCATAAGTTGAATTTAGTCTTTTTGACGGAGAACTCTAAGCTTTCTGCCAGTGGGTTGGCATCGTCTTGCTGCATGCTCCGAGAGACCCATTTCTCACACCTGGGTCCCTGCATTTGAGTATGGGTCAAGGCTTATTCATTTACGGTACACAAATGCTAAGTGGACCATAAGATCAGCACCTCTAAGGCACACCACCTTCTGTATCCAAGAACATGAAAGACAAGGGTTTGGTGGCCATATCCAACTTTAGTTAATTCCAAAGCACAAATCACCAGGAATCACTTCACTGTTGGGTCTTGTAGAGGAAACCTTCAACAACAAACTAACATGGGGCTCTGCCTGAAGTCACTAAGTCTGAACTCCACCCTAAAGTTTGCAACTGGATCAGTTACAATATTGGTTTCAGTCTAGTAGAGTAGCACAGTAATGACAGCATTTAAAATCTACCTTGTGCTTTCATTACAAGGTCCTTAAGTGTTTTATAGAGATGTTAATAGTTACTGGAAGGAAAACCTCAAGACACAGAGTAGTGAGGTGTCCTCCTGAAGTTCACGTGCTGGCTTGCTTGCAGCGTTAGGATCAGATTCTCAGCACTGTGCTGCAGTGCTGAACCAAACTTTGTATAGACACAGCCTGCGACTTTCTGATGTGGTTATAGACAAAGAAGAGGAACAATCCAAATAAAAAACAATGGCATTGAATGAACATTTGTATTACCTCATAAAAATAACTCTTGGTCTCCTCAGATCTGACTGGGTTGATCTTCAAAAGATCATTTCTTCCTTTTGGAAAATGTCACAGGAAATTTCAATTCTGGGCTGCTGATACTGAAGCAATTAAAGTTTCAAGTACTATTGGCGGGCTTTAAAAAATTCTGATACCTGGTTGACATCACGAAGAAAGTGTCTCTCAGTATTGCTTGTTAACACTTTTTAGGAATTCTGTGGGTATTTTAAGGTCTAGCTGTCTATGTTGAGCAGGGAAAAAATGAAATCTGGGATGGGAAAATGGAGAATAATTGTTAATCGTTATTATTTTTAAAGTCAAGTATAAAGCTATGAAGAAACAAAAGCTGGATAGAAAAAGTTGGTGCTGCTCAGTTCCAGTCAAAAGAAAAACTGTCAAGAGAAAAAGAGAAAAAAAAACCCCATGGTTCTTTGAGATGGATAAGTACAACGACCTTTTGACAGTAAGAGAGCACTGACAAACGGAAGGAAATATAGTCTATTAACCAGCCAGGAAATCCAGTTTGACAAACTAGCAGGCTCAGATTGTGCTTTCTGATCCTTTACCTGTTACTTGCTGCTCAGCATCAGCATCCTTAGGCACTGCATAAGGCACCTGGTTTCAGATGTTTTCCTGAGCTCCTGCTGAGCTCACATTTCACGTAGCAGAAGGACAAAGCATCATTTTTATCCCCTGCCCCATGACCTGTGTGGCAGATGGAGCTATGAGATTCCTCAGTGGTTTGTCAGGGAGCCAAATCTGACTCCTAGCCCACAGGAGGAAGAAAACAGGAGTGGATGTAGGACAATGGCACATGTTTGTAGATACTATGTCGTGGTTAAAACTAGAATGAAAAATCTATCTCCTGGTTACTGATAAGTGTGGAGGGGAAGTTTAAGAAGAGCCCTGCACCAGAAAATAATTATTCAAACTGGTCTGAAAACATAGGCTAAATATTACAGGCAACATCTGGGAGTAAGAAAAAAAGTCATTGATCTGCAGTCCAAAGCAAGGGAGAAGAGGTGCTGATGCAATCAGAGCAATGAAAGTGTAAAAAGAGCAGCAGAAGACAAAAGGCAGTTTTCCTATGTTATAGACTATAGATATTATGAAAGTAGTTACTAACCTATCTATCTACAATCTATATGATTTGGGTTTTTGCTGCAGGCAACACAAATCTTGATATCTATCAGTCTTGATGACAGCAAATAATCTAAGGGGGATGCTGAAATCGTATTTTCTATAGTTTTGCTACACTCCACTTACACTTCACCTCTGCTTTCAGCTCTTTGCTGAAAGGCAGCCTGGCTTCTGGCTTTTGGGAACGTGCTGGGCAGAGTGGAAATTTTGGTAAGTGGGTCTGAATGCTTTCCTATCAGCTTTCAGAGGAAAAACATCATACAATTTTTTACTACTCTGTGGCTGACATGTGAATTTGGCTTTGATAACAGGCTAGGGCCCAGGTGGATAATAGCGTGCTGGTTCAGGAAATCCCTGTCTCATCTAACAGCTCACTCAGGCTGAATGCACAGAAAGTTCTTCAGCAACCTACAAGGAAACGACTTGTATTTTTTTGCTGGGTTAATGTTCTGCTGTTTTTCCAAGGGGATCTGGCCTGCTGAGGGGTCAGACAAGCACTCTAACTCATGTAAAACTAGTGGTGGCAACAACTAGGGGAGAAGCAAGGCCAGCCTTTGCTCTCTTGGAGGTGTCTTGGATTGGCTCATCCATTTTGCAAAGCTGCATCCTTTGCCCTTGTGGCAAGTACCCCACAGCTGTGTCTCAGAGTCTTACCCTTGCAGTTAAAAACCTATAATCTTCCTCCTCTTTTCCAGTGTCCTCTGATAAACTTAACTCTCTGCAGATTAACTGGAGGGAACCTTCCTCCTGGGCTGCCCAGCGTGCTTGGCTCCTCTTCAGAAACAGCTGTGTCTAATAAGTGCCTCTAGGCCCGTCTCACAGACTTGTCCTACTCCAATTATCCAGCTCGGCAAAGACACAGAAGAACAATAAAAACTCTTAGTAGCTGCTGTTGGTTTTGTGTGTGTGCACGCTTTGGAAAACAAATAATCAAATAGTGTATTGAAGAACGTGAGAGTGACATTTAGC